TGTGTACTATCTGTAAGTTTGGGTGTTCTCTTGCATCTCCCCTCACTTCCTATCAGCTGGATGATTCACTCTCAGCTTGAGCCCTCCGTGACTAGGTCCTTGTCCATGGCCTCAGGTGTCGCCTGGTCTCACCACATTTCGAACCAACCAGGCCTCCTTCTTTTCTCTCTCATATTCAGGTCACTGGGAGTCTATGGAACATGGTTGAACTCAGCCCATTTCTTCATTGCTGCCTTTCCCTCTCTTCCACTCACCAGTAGACCAACATGGGCACCAGCAAGCTTATATACCTGCTCATGTGTTCCCTTTGTTTCAGTCTTGGAGGGGGGATTTGTCCTGAAGGGAGGGACCTCATTGCTTGCCTTGATGGCTTCTTGGTGAACAACTTGCTTAGTCTTGTAGTAGCCAATCATATTGTCATTTTTATTTGGAGTTTTTCCTGCTTTCTTTGAAGATGTATCTTCTGTTGCTCTAGCTGTTCCAGGCTGGTCTGCTTGTCCTTTGTAGTGGGAATGCCCCACCTCAGAAGGTTCTGGTTGGGGCTCAGGATTCCATTTAAGGTCCTATACACTGCAAAGGCTCCGCAAGAGGCCTGTTTCACTGGCTAATGCCTGATCTTTATGCATTTCATTTAATTTTTGTGACTTCCAATTTTCCTAGATTCATACTTTGTACATTCCATGTTCTGATTATTAATGAATGTTTACATATTTCTCATTCTGAGTTGTGCCCCATCAGCAAATGAAGGTCCAGAAAACTTGGCTCTATTCATGCCATTATGCGCAACTCTACTGTGAGGAGACAGCTCATCTTCCAGCACTTTATCTGACAATGTCCTGCTACCAGTAATGTTTTTAGTGGCTACACATTCAGAAGTAGTCCTCTCCTCTGAATCTTCGTCTGGAAGCTCCACTGAAACCTGTCCACCATGGGTGACCCTGCTGGCATTGAAAATACCAGTGACATAGCTTCCAGCATCACAGCAACACACAGGACACCAAAGTGTGACAAACTGATAGATGAGTGGTAGGTTACTTCCCTAAGAAACCCCATAATCATGAGTACTGTTGGTAAGTTCTCTGTAGCCATCACTACAAATGATCAAACCCAGCAGAGAAGCAGATGGACGTGCGAGAGATGGTTGGTGTCAGACTGGAAAAATGGTTGGAGAGGGGACATTGGCCTGACTTCTACCTCTTAGGTTGGTGGTGCTTATGGTGATTCTACCCCTCTTGGTAACTTAGAAGTCAGATGCCCCTCCCACACTGTTTTTGTAATAATGTTTAATTTAACAACTAGAATCTTTAGAATGGAACCAGAATTTAAAATAATCACTTTTTCACTAAGATTAGTTTGATTTTAGTTAACAGGAAGTTGGTTTGCTTTTCTCACTAAGCCTAATTTCATGAGAGATCTACCTAACTAATTCTATATATGAACGTTTATTACTTTTTATTGCTGCACAGCATTCTATGGTATGTTTATGCCAAAGTTTAAATATTCACCTGTGGAAGGACATTTGAATGTTTCCAGATGGAAGATACAATTTCCCTGGGTGCTATTTAACATTCCAAAATTTCAAATGATTTTATCTACAATGCATGTTTAGTAAAAATGGAGTCCTGGTGTGGCACTGTAGGGTAAGTGCTGGCCTGCTAACCAAAAGGTCGGTAGCTCAAACCCACCAGCCGCTCCTCAGAAACCTTATGCAGGCTAGCTATGAGTATGAACCAACTCAATGGCACTAACAACAACTCAGAATGATGTACAAATAGATGCACAGACAGCTATAGACTTTCAAACTTTCAAAAGAATGGGAGAGCACATTTAGTGGCGATCAATGAAGTCATTCAGTAGACACCATTTATAATGACTGTTGAATAAGATTTTCCTTGATAGTAATTTTTATTATATATGCAATCAGCGTAGTACTTATATTCAATTGCTCATTTAACATGGCTGTTAACAACAACAAAGCAGTTTGAAGACTAGTTGTGCATAATTACACTTAAGATGAAAAACAATGACATGATGAATCTATTTCCTTTCAAATTTTAGTATGAATTTTCATTTGAGAAAGCATACAATTATAGGTACTTATTTTTTGTCAATTCATTTTAAGACATACTAATATCTAAGGACAGATAACATAAGATGACATCTTAATTTATAATTTCTCTCAATGCCATATCAAACACTTATTTACCATCCATATCTTGATTCTCAAATAAAAGAACAGCATATAATTTATGATTCAAAAGGAAAAAAGACCTTAAATGTTGTAATTAAAAAGTTTAAACAATAAAATCAAAGATAAAACCAGCTGTTAAAAAAGACAAATATATTCAACTTTAGCATAATTTTAATTTGGAATACTGATAACCCAAAAACATATGAAACAGAAAAAGAATATGCTTTTAGAAATATTAAAGACTTCTTTGCGTTGATTGCAAATTTACTCTTTTTTAAAATACAGGTAACATACAGTGTAAATTGTGACAGCCAAAACACAGTGGAACTACTTTTCATGGTCTCCCAGGTTTTCTAGCCTGTAATAGTACACTTTTACTTAGTGGAAAATATTTGAATTTTCCTTCTTGATAAGTTTCTGCCTTACATGATTCTGGCTGCTCACAGGTTTTATTGTACTTCTTAAATAATCTCACTCTTTTTACCATGATTCTATAAAAATAAATTGTCCATAACATTCCTAAATTCCCAATTAAAGCCATTATTAAATATATGATAAGAGGTTATTGAATCATAAGACTTAAAATCAGTGGCAACATCACACATATAGGTTGAAGATGTAATAAATTCAATGTTAGCACATTAATGAGAGGTAGAATTCTTAATCACAGTTTTATATAGAGAACGTGCAGTAGTTTTAGCTGTACCCTGTTTTATTAGTTATGGTAATATAATTAAAATTGTGTCTCATTGTGAGTCTAACAAAGGGGGAAAATATTGGCCCTTGCTCTGTATGTGTTACCGGGGCTATACCAAAAGACTGAAAACATTTTCTTGGTAAATTAATTGATAATGTCGTATTTGCCTCCTTTTCAGAAAGCCTCACAGGCTAAGGGTAAAGAAGAAAGAAGTGTATCTACATTGGCAGCACAATCTGAATACCTGGGAGAAAGATGAGGCTTTCTGCTGTTGCAAAAGAGTTACAGCCTCAGAAACCCTATATGAGGTTGCTATGAGCCGGAATCGACTCAACAAGCACTTAACATATGGATAACCATTGCTTATCAAGAATTTCAGCATTACCAATCTTCAAATGGGTTTTATACCTAAACTTACTATAAGTTGATTGTTTCTAATGCATTGTATTTTGTCATAAAGAATATTATTCAAGGGTATAAACTAAAAGTTCTATTTAATTCATGATGCAGCAAAACTAGTAGTCCTTGAAAAGACACCACAGATTGTGATAAGCTAGGATGGCAAAGACTTACTTATATTTATATGTGGGTTATTCATGTATTTGGTGTATATAACTTGGGACTATGAGTTTTTGCAAACCTATTTCCATATCAATAAATTCATCAAAAGGACACTTATGAAAATTATAATGAAAATTGCTAATAAATAAGAGTATACTCAATGCTGAAATGTACTGCAAGGCTTAAGTTTTAAAAAATTGTACCTGAATACTTACAAAAAATAAATCAAAACAAAATGCAATAATGGTATAAAACAAAAACAAAAAACCCACAATTAAATAGTCTTAACTGTATTTACCAGTTAACTGGAAATTCATTTCCTCGGATATATAGTGAAAATTTGATTCTCATGAATAGTCACTCAGATTAGAATATTTACTTTGGTTTTGCTTCAGGGAACTTTATTTGATCAGATAAGTCTCTTAAGTACACCTAAATTCTTTGTTTCTGATGATTGTGATAGATCAGAAAAGGAGACATTTAATATGGTAGGTCCAGATCTCTTTAGCAGTATTTCCTTTAAAACTACTGATAATAATGTATGCCTGGTGTTGTGCTCTGGGTTAATGCATCAGATGGCAAAGCCATTTGAAGTGCAAGGTTGGCGGTTCAAGTTCACCACTGCTCCTCGGAAACCCTACACAGGGTTGCTATGGGTCGGAACTGACTCGACAGCACTTCACAACAAGAACAACAATAATGTCAGTAATGATGCCAAAATTAACAGAATACTGTTGACAGGTAATAATATAAAGATTGTCATTTTCTCTCATATTTCATATAAAAATTCTATACCTTTGTTAAGGGCTAGACAGAATATTTCCATATGGAGGTTGAGCAACTTTTGGCCAAATACGTCAAAGGGAAAATTATAATAAATAGGACTTTGCATTTTAATAATTATCAAAATGTCAGCTTTGGTGATATAGACTAAATATAAAACTAATGTTTTTTATTGACAATTTTAAATTGAAATGTAACATTTACTTTAAAAAATCTCTAAAATGTAACTTTTTCAAAGTGGTATGTCTATTAATATCATAATAGAGGTGCATATATAAGTAGAAAAAAGTTGAGTCTCTTTTCTAAACATATAGTCAAACCATAATTAGCATATTCTCAGTTGATTTATAACTTAACATACTAAAACATCTATAATGAATTTATAATCACCACATTTACAAAGACATTTCTGGGTATGAGAACCTTTTAAAAACAAATTTGCTTGGTGTCTCATGTAGGCCCAATGCTGTTATTTAAATCACCTGTGACATATGCAAAATTTTTTCAAATTTAGGAAAATACAGTTATTAATATGCCTTCTGTCAGTTATACATTCAGTTATACCTATACTCTGGCAAAATATTTGCTATAATTGTAAATACAACTGGATCAGTAAGATTACTTATATAGACAAAAGTGAAAACTTTCCTTTCCCCTTAAGTTACACTTATTTTCACACTTAGGATATCTAAAACCATTTTTGAAAATACTATTAATTGTCTTGACTGTAACAGTTTATTGCATTTTTTTTCACCTCTTTTTTCAATGTTAAGTTCTACTTTTCCTCTTATCCTCAAATAGATTCTTCAGCATATAAACTTGAATTGCTGAAACCACTACCATGACCACCAAATTAACCATTGACCAGAAATTGACTCTATCAAAGTTACTTTCTTGTATATTTCGATCACGGGCTTCAAATGCTCTAAGAAGAGTCTGGATATGACCACTTTTGCTTAGTCTGGACTTGATGCTGTTGATTGATTCCTGAAGATAAATAAAATAATTTTAGTATAAAATAATACTCAGGAGTTATTTTCAGTTAATTAAAAAATGTATTCCACAGTACTCTAATAATCATGTTAGTTTTATATGCTATTATTGCATTTCATACTTACAACTCTAGATGTGGTATCCATTTTTCAGGTAAGGAAACAAAGTTTTAGAGAGCTCAGTAACAATAGAATTATACATATAATATGATCATATAATATTTTAACTTCTTAACCTAACTGATCTACAATATGTTTGCTATAATTTGAAATCTAGAGTTATAAAAATACTCTGTTAAAAATATTGAGGTAAGAAGAATACTAGAGATTAGAAATTTCAAACTCAAAATAATGTAGTTATTCCTCTGGAAGACATTTCTATCATCTAGGTATATATGCTAGTCACACATATCACTGAGTAGCTCCTAGCTTTTGATTATGTATATGATTGGAGTATTGACCCTTTCCCCCTAACACTGGCAGAACTATTATTATCACATGGATTCTCATACCCTCTCATCACCTTCAATATGCACATTCAAGATAAAACAAAACATACAGCAATACAAAGCAGCTATGCGGCTAGTGCAAAAGTGTTTACACTTATGTCTAGTGCTAGTTTCTCTTGATTATAGGTCTGCTCACAGTATTGTTATGTAAATAGTGTTATAAAAACCATGCTTGGAAAAATTGCCTATACGTCATAAATGTTTACAGATGACTTAGTTTTATTCCATGTGCAAGTATGCTACAGATCATTACGATATTTTGTTTATAAACATTTTAAGAAAGTTTTATAATTCCGAGCCTGCACTCCAATTCTAGTTCTGCCTCTACCTGGTTATATGAGTAGAAGTATTATTTAATCCCCCTACAACACGTTTCCTCATTGGAAAATACGGAATCTTATTGATACACTTATCTCATAGTGTAAAGTATTAGATATAGGAGTCCTGGTGTGGCATTGTAGGATAATCCAGGACAGCAAAGTCAGTTTGAACCACAAGGTCAGTGGTTCAAACTCATCAGTCGCTCCTTGGAAACCCCATATAGTGTTGCTATGAGTCAGAACCAACTCTACGGCACTTAACAGAAATAGAGATACAATGCTTATTACATAGTAAGCTCTCAGGGTACTAGTCATTTTTATTGAAAACATTATACTAACCAGGATATCTTCCAGTTTCATATCCAACATATCTGTGCCAGTAATATATTTCTTCCAATCTTCTTGTTCTTGCTCCTGTTCTCCCATATTATCCAGGATTAATTCAAAGAAAATCACTTTCTCAGAAATGGTGCTGAATGTATTGTCAAAGCAGAACATGTAGTCACCAACTTCAGTCTCTACCCTGTATAAAGATACATGTTATCTACTTCAATCTGAATTTCAAAGAAAAAACTACAGGTAGAAGGAAAAACAAGGTTTATAATCACTGGAAAGCTTACAGACAGAAGGACTCACCTTCTTTACAATTTAAGTGGGTACTTCTTGGAAAAGAGACAACCTGAAAACCTTCTTTACAATTTAAGCGGGTACTTCTTGGGAAAGAGACAAACTTGCAACTTAGATGTTTGGCATTTATTAAGTGAATTATGGCAAATGATTTAATTTGGGGTAAAGGATAAGACCCCAAACTAAATATGAAATAACCTCTGATAAACTTTAATATTAACACATTATTAAAAGTAATTTATTTTGAGTCAATTTATATGTAAATGTGGCTATTAGCCTATCCTTCAACTGAAGACTAATCTATAAAATGAGTTTTGCTTTCAAAAGCTGTGGTTATACTAAGTGCTTTCTCCCAGGCTCCCTACTTGGCAATGTACTTTATGTTAGGAATGAGGTCTGTGGTCTACACCAATGCTTTGCCATCATGACATCACCTTCACTCAATAAATGCCTTGCACTTCTAAATAGAATTTGTAATCTTGGTCTCATTCGCTTCACATTCAAGATAACTGGCCTTGGCAGAATATATTTAACAAAGTGGTTTTCTAATTTTTTTTTAATCATTGAAGAAATATTTCAATGGAGAAAAATATAGCAGAGGCTAATGATATCTACCACTTGTCCCACACAACAAGAAAACAAAAACTACTTACTAGAATGAATGGCAAAGTAGTTTATATTTTACAATATATGACTGAGGTAATTATTCAGGTTATTATTTCACAAGAGACTGTCAACTTTAGGAAGCCAGCTAAAAGACAACTCAGACTCTTGGCAAAGCCACAGTGCTTCTAAAATTATCCTCTAAGAACTAAGCAGGTGAAGGAGACATACATGGGGTTCATAGTCACAGCAATTGTAAATTAAGACCCTTTTATAAAAATTCATTATTCCTAACATGCACATACAATGGACTAATTTTGTCCCAGGAAAGAAGTCTTTAATTTCATGGCATTGTAATATGGGTTTTGATATGACCAGCAAGTTTCCTGTCTACTTTGGTGACTTCTGAATCTTTCTACCTGTAATCTAACTGTTTACTACTCAACTCTTTTCAGTTTCTTAAGGATGACTTCAGCTAGAATTAGGAGGCTCCCCCTAAACAGTGGGAATTTGGAGTTAAAGCTGTTCTAGATTAACATTTCCATCCTTTGTGGTCCAGCATTAGTCCGTTGCAGCTCTCTGATACCCGAAATTTCATCAGGGTGTTAACTTGTACTTCTTTTTGTCTTGTAGTATTTGCCTATACTTCTCTTTGGTTGGCATGAATTATGCCTGACATGAGGGAGAACCCAGTAAAACCTTTGGTGCCAAGATCTTTAATGAAACTCAGATCCATTTAGGAATTGAAAGTTTGCATCAAGTATTGTATGGTAAAGGCTGCTGAGAACTTGCTGGAACTTGAAGGCATAAAGGGGACAAAAATCCTTTCTTCCAACTTTCCAGGTTATATCCCAAGTCCTACCTTGCAGTGAAGGTATATGCAAGAAGAGAGGTTTAGAAAATCAGAAAAGGAATGTAAAATGTTGAATTAGGAGAAGGTTGTTGTTGTTAAGTGTAGTCAAGTTGGTTCCGACCCATAGTGACCCTGTACAGGGTTTCCGAGGCTGTAAATCTTTACGGGAGCAGAAATCCTCATCTTTCTCCCACGGAACAGCTGGTAGTTTCGAACTGCTGACCTGAAGGTTCGCAGCCCAATTTGTAACCACTTTGCTACCAGAGCTCTTTAGGAGAAGGATAGGTGTGTGTATATAAGCCCTTTTCAGAAAATATACCCTGTATGAGCTAGGCTATATTAATAGCATTGTTCTCATGATATAGCAGACATGGGGGTGGTGTGCTGTTAAGTTGGTTCTGGCTGACAGCAATCCTGTACAGGGTTCCCAAGGCTGCAAATTTTAAGGGAGCAGAAAGCCTCATCTTTCTCCCACAGGGCAGTTGGTAGGTTCGAACTGCTGACCTTGTAGTAAGCAACCCAACAACTAACCCACTATGCTACCAGGACTTCTTATCAAGATTCACAAACGACCTCAATATAATCACTTATGATTTGGAACAAAGAAAGATTTCTATCATCTCTATGTGACCTGAAGATTCAAAGGGTCAAGCGATTAAAGGTTGGATAGCGTTGTGGGTTAAGAATTAGATTAACTGCAATATGGCATCAGTTCATATCTACCAGGTGCTCCAAGGGAGAAAGATGAAACTTTCTGCTCCCATACATATTTACAGCTTTGGAAACCCTATACAGTGTCACTATGAGTCAGAACCAAATCCATGGTACACAACCACCACAACCGGGCAAATATGGGACTGGCAAGGGTGTGGGAGTTAGTATTATGAAAACAAATCTTCATTAAACATGTGCCTTTTTCAAATGTCCTGCCAATGCCACATCCTCAGTTAAGCAAGGAAAACTTGAATTATGCTTTTGCACTAACCTAAAATCATTGTTTGTTTTTTAATTCCCAGCGCATCCTTTTTGAATCATCACATCAACATTTATTTCAAGATTTCCGATAGTACTATTTTGTTTCTCTAAATTCACAGGTATACATATTTCCACCAATTCAATTTTATTTGATTTATTGCCTGATTTACCACAGATTCCAGGCCCCCATTCATTCCTAACATGCATTTAGTATTTACTGGGCATCATACATGCTACTGCTTTAGTGAGCAAAGACCAATAATTAGGATAACAGCTAATAGTTACATAGTGTTATGTGCCAGAGATGTTCTAAAGCATCGTATGGCAGAAAGCAATAGTTTTGGTTAGGATGAAGCTCCACCTTTTAAATAAATGCACATTTAACTTCTCTGAGCCTCCTTTTCTGTAAAATGGGAATCAAAGCATCTATCTCATAGCAGGTTGGAATGATTTAGATAGCATATAAAATGCTAAGGCTACCTTATGACAAATAGTAGACACTGTACTCACTCTTCCACTTCCTAGGAACTCACAGTTTAATTAACTCTAACATGCTAACATATCAACTAAAGAAAGTGCTATGGTAAAATAATAGAAAGGAACAGGACAACACACCAGTGAGAAGTGAAATGAAAATTTGGAGGTGAAATCTAAGAAGAAACTATAGCTATATCTCAAAGGTACTGTGGTTTGAGTTCCAGATCACCACAATAAATTATCACAAAAAGAATCATATGAAGTTTTTGGGTTCCCAGTGCATATAAAAGCGATATTTACACTATACTGTAGAAAAGTGTGCAATGCTATTGTTGTTAAGTACTATTGAGTCATTGAGTCAATTCTGATTCATAGTGACTCTGTACAGGGTTTCCGATGAGCAGCTGGTGGGTCTGAACTGCTGACATTGGGGTTTGCAATCCAGTGCTCATCCTACAGCACCACACCATAAAAAGTTTAAGATATTCTGAAAATTACCAAAATGACAGTAACATGAAGTGAGCACATGCTGTTAGAAAAACGGCACTGAAAAATTTGCTTGAGGCGCGGTTGCCATAAGCCTTCAATTTGTAACAAAAAACAAAAACCGCAATTATCTGTGAGGCGCAACATAGCAAAGTGTAAGGCCTTTTGTATGAGTCACAGACTTATGATAGTATTTTCTTTCTGTTTGGTTTCCTAAGGTCATACCTTTTACTTTGTGATCTTTTTCTAATTATTTTAAAAGAGTGATGTCTGAGTGAAAATACAATCACACACACACATATACATGCAAAGACAGATGTACTGCTGTTCTAATAAAGAACACCATGGGCAAAGATGATATAGTCAGCAGCTCAAGAAACTCTTTAGGTCAGATACCTAGTTAAAATGGAAAGCTTGTGCTAACCGGAAAGGCAGGTTTAAAAAGCCACAGCAGACTGGAAACACTACTTAGGGAATACTCATGTATTTAGCCAAAAAAAGAAGAAACCAAGTCAGGATCATAGCAAAATGCCTAAACAACAACAAAAAAGAATTTTATCTAGTGTTGCTGTAACAGAGAAAGCACAAATGGGGGCTTTAACTACATAAATTTATTTTCTCACAGTTTAGGAGGCTAGGGTCCGAATTCAGGGTGCTGGCTACAGGGGAAAGTGCTCTCTGTCAGCTCTGGAGGAAAGGCTTTGTCTCCTCTGAGGGTCTGTCCTACACAATCTTCCTGTGGCTTGGCATATCTCTTCCCTATCTCTGCTTACTTGTTTAGCACTGGACTGCTAGCCACAAGGTCGGTGGTACAAACCTACCAGCTGCTCCTTGGAAACCTTATTCAGGGTTGTTATGAGTCAGAACTGACTCAATGGAATCTAACATCAACAACAGTTCAAAAGAGATACGAGGGTGGTGCTGCAGGATAATGTGCTGGATTGCATGGTCAACGGTTCAAACCTACCACTCCTCAGAAACCCTATACAGGAACAGACTCAATGGCATTTAACAACAACAATCTTGCCTCATCAACATAACAAAGAATGGTAACCACAGGCATAGAAGTTAGAATTTAAAGTACATATTTTTGATAAGACACAATTCAACCTATAACAAAGTATAATAAAAGACATTTTAGTATCTGAAGACATTGTAGCTTATTAGATGGCCTATTATTCCAAAAACAAAACCCAAGTCACTACTATCCATCTGACTCCGGCTCATAGTGTGGCATGAGAGTTTGTAAATCTTTATGGAGCAAAAGATTTTTCTACCTTGGAATAACAGGCAGGTTTAAAAGCCATTAGTAGTCTGGTGCTTATCTTACTGCACCTCTTTATGGATAGTTTAACATGCTCATTTGAAATAATCTAATACTCATATACTTAGTGTTGTTGTCAAGTGCTGTTGAGTCGGTTCTGACTCATAGTGACCCAGTATAGGGTTTCCAAAGAGCAGTTAGTGAGCTTGAATGGCCAACCTTGCAGTTCAAACTGACCTTATCTACAACACCACACCAGGATTCCCATATTTAGTATTGACTATGTTAACCTTGCTTGCTGAAAGTGAAGAGGACTTAAAACATTTACTGATGAAGATCAAAGAGCACAGCCTCAGTATGGATTACATTTCAATGTAAAGAAAACAAAAATCCTCACCAATGGACCAATAAACAACATTCTTATTGAAGTTGTCAAGGACTTAATTCTTCTTGGATCAACTATCAACACTCATGGAAGCAGCAGTCAAGAAATCAAACGACATATTGCATTGGACGAATCTGTTGCACAAAACCTTTTTAAAGTGTTGAAGAACACAGATGTTAGCTTGAGGACTCAGGTGCACCTGACCCAAGACATAGTATTTTCAATCACCTCATATATAGACAAAAGCTGGACAGTGAATACGGAAGACTGTAGAAGAATCGATGCTTTAGAATTATGGTGTTGGAGGATAATATTGAAAGTGCCATGGGATGCCAAAAGAACCAATAGGTCTGTTCTGGAAGAAGTGCAGCCAGAGTGCTCCTTGGAGGCCAAGATGGCCAAACTTCGTCTCTCATACTTTGGACATATTATCAGGAGGGACCAGTTGCTGGAGAAGGATATCATGTTTGGTAAGGTGGAGGGTCAGAGAAAAAGAGGAAGACCTCCCAACGAGATGGACTGGCCAAGTGGCAGCATCAATGGACTCAAGCTTGGCAACAGTAGTGAGGCTGGCCCAGGATCGGGCAGTGTTTCGTTCTGCTGTGCATAAGGTTGCTATGAGTTGATACCGACTCGATGGCACCTAACAACAACAACAACAACAGAGTCCACTGGAGTCCTGGTGTGACAATGGTGGGTTAATGTGCCAGACTGAAAAGTCAGTTTGAACTGCAAGGTTGGTGGTTCAAGCTCACCAGTGGCTCCTCGGAAACCTTTTATACAGGGTCGCTATGGGTTGGAACTGACTCAACGGCACTTAACAACAACAGAGTCAACTAAGGAGCTCTGGTAGTGTAGTGGTTACGAGTTGAACTGCTAACCTCAAGGTCAGCAGTTCAAAACTACTAGCTCTTCCATGGGAAAAAGAGGAGGCTTTCTGCTCCCGTTAAGGTTATAGCCTCGGAAACCCTATGCAGGGTCACTATGAGTCAGAACCGACTCCTCAGTGCACCACCAACACCACCACAGAATCCACTGGTACTATTTAGCCGAAGGAACTAAAACTAGAAGAGATTACTTACGTGTGAACACCATCTGATTTTCTTTGTTCGAAAACTAAAGTTTTACCCTCTGGTGAGGCAAGATGGAAATCAATATCTAATCCTGCTCCATCTAAAACCTGCAGAAGAGCACAGAAGAGAATATATATTACAAATTCTGAACATGAGAAGTATATTCTATGATGAAAGTTTTCTTTTTTAACAGAGAAGGCTAGTAAAGCCAACAGACTTCTGTTAGAACTACAGAGGAGCACAATTCATCCAGTTCTATTCATTTTTGGAACTTGTCCCTTTCTTACTCATTTTTATTGCTATCACAAATTTAGGTTTCATGGGTAAATCTTTACGGGAACAGAAAGCCTCATCTTTCAGCCATTCCGCAGGAGAACAATGAGGCTTTCTGCTCCCGTAAAGATTTACAGCCTCAGAAACCTTGTACAGGGTTGCTATGAGTCGGAACCGACTCTACGGCACACCACCACCACTAAAATATCTTCCTAAAATAGTGCCTTCTGCCTAATAGATTTGAAAGAAACACAGCTAGATGGGAGTTCAAATGTGGTCTTACTGCTTAAAAATGTATGCATTTTGCTCTGATTGGTGACCACGCTCGTCACCAATAAGGGGAAGTGAGAGAAAAACAACAATGAAGTGGCGAGCTAAGCCCTACAATGTGGAGAGTGAAGTGTTCAGCTGATAAAAAGAGCAGGCATATGCACAAGAACACTCACACTTGCAGATAATACCCACTTGACCTGGCTTCAATGACTGGATGATCAGAGCTCAACCAGAAGAAGAAAGAAGGGGAAAAAAAAGAGTAATCTGATGCAATTTGATGAACTTGACCTACACCTATGGAAGCAGTAGCTCAAAAAAGGGACCAAATTCTTACAGCAAGAATCATTCCCACACCCTCCACACACAGAGTAGACAGGGATGGGCAACTAGGACATTGGCTACCTAAAATGGGGGGGCGGGGACTACAAAAGCAAGAAGTGACTGGCTTACAAGTTTTCAAGAGGGAACCTAGAGCCAGAGGGCATGGAGGAAGGCAGAATCTCCAGTGAGTAATATCCAATCTACCTAGGCAGAGCTGATGAAATGAAATGCAGATGGGTCTCTTCTGATACGATAGTGAATAATTGTTATCAGGACTGATTGTGAAGGCTGGAAATGTAAAGGTAGACGTTTTATAGGGAGGAAATAACTTTCCAGTCTAAGAGCGGAGGTCCCTAGGACCATCAAGGGAGAAGAGCAGAGAGCAGGACCCCACCCAGAGAAGCAGTGATGCCTGAGATGGAGGCAGAGACAATGACGTGGAGCGATGGAGCAGCTGGAGACTTTAGATCCAGAGAGGGAGAGGGGCTGTGTGCTGAAGACCTGGGGGTGGGGGTAGTGTAGGGGGCCGGCTTGCAGGGTATACCCTTTGGTTTGTTGATAATGCATGGAGGGGATTGTAACCATGGTAATGATACAATGTAGGATAGAATGAATGTAAAACTAATGTTCTCCCATGTAAACTATCATATAATTCATAATAAAACACTTGACCTTGCAGTTCAAACCTACCCTGCAGTCCAGCACATTAATTTGCAGCTACATGCTAAATAAAAAACAAAAAAAAATTTTTTTAAAGTTTTTATTGTGAATTGAGTGATAGTTTACATGGGGGAATATCAGTTCTACACTCATCCTTTCATTGCAATTGATTACAATCTCCTCCGTGCATCATCATTCAACAGAATTTGCTTCTATTTCCTCTGTTGTTGTTGTTTTTATTTTTTTGGAGGGAGGATGTACACAAAAACACCTGGGAATACATAATCATTTAAATAACCAAAGGTCTGCGAGCCTGCCTCCTGGCCACCAGGACCTGGCCGCCAGCATACAGCCTTTCTTTCTTTTTGAGTCTAGAGTCCTCAGCCGCTTTAGTTCTCCATGCCCTCATCTCTGTCTCCATCTCTGGATAGGGTCCCACATTTCGCTTGTGCTCTTCTCCTTTGATGGTCCATAGGTCCTCTGTGACCCTAAATATAGGTCAAATTCATCAATTATAGTAATTTATACTTGTTTCCTTTAGCAAAACTAAATTAAAATTGTGATTTATTTCCTTTTCAATAAAATGAGAATAATTAGCTACATCTTAGCATAGAATTCAATGGCTCCATGATCTGACTCCAATCAACGTTTTTTTTTCTTTTAATTCACTTTATTTTAAGAATTATACATGCTTTATTGTGAATTATGTGATAGTTTACATGGGATAACATTAGCTTTATATTGCCATGGTTACAATCCCTTCTACGCATCATCAACCAACCAAAGGGTATATACCCTGCAAGCCTGCCCGCCTCCCCCATGTCATCGGCACACAGTCCTTTCTCCCTGACTGGGTCTAGAGTCTCCAGCCATTCCATCTTCCAACCAACTTTTTCAATACAGTTTTTTACTCCTCCCAGATATGAACTGTGTATTTCAGGTAGGCTGGTTAACTTACTGGCCATTGAAAATGATCTGTTCTTTTACAGTTCCAAAATGTCCCTATTATGTGACAGAGTAGAACTGCCCCCAAGGGTTTTCATGGCTTTAACCTTTATGGAAGCAGATCACCAGGTCTGCGGCTAAACTTAACAAATTTTTGGTTAATTGCACCAAGACTCCCTGATTGTATGAAAGCATGTAGTACATTTTTACGTACTACTGTGTCCTTGCACTTGGATTGGCTTAACATATATTAGGCACTCAATGATGATTTAGATTTTTAAATGAATAATCCATTTTTATCCACAAGGTATGTATACTGATAATGATAAAGAACTTTTATGTAGGGATGATATGTAGCAGTCTGCTTCCATAAAGACTGTTGTTGCTGTGTGCCATTGAGTCATTCTTACTCATCAGGACCCTATATAAGGTTTGAGAGAGAAGCTGGTGGGTTTAAATTGTCGACTTTGAGGTTAGCAGACTGGTGCTTATTCTACAGCAATTACTGGAAACTCAGTGGGACAAATCCTATGGAAATTCTATAAGGTCTGATAAGTAAAGCAATGGATTTGGAGTTTTTGAAAGAGGATAAAAAAGAAAACATTAATTTGGGATAAAGTTTACACTGCCAAATGAAAGAAAGATTATGTTAGTTAATATATGGTTCTATCTTTTCCTATTTAAAAATAGTGACCTACATAGCTGTGAAGAAAATGCACAATTAAATACAGCAGTAATAAAACAGAACCCAAACTCACTGACATCCTGTCGATTTAGACTCACAGAAACCTTGTATAGGGTTTCTGAGACTGTAAATCTTTATTGGAGCAGAAAGCCCCATCTATCCCCCACAGAGTTGCTGGTGGATTTGAACGGCCGATTAGCTGTCCAGTGCTTATCCTACAGCGCTATCAGGGCTGCTTTTCAAATGTTGTTGTTGTTAAGTGCCGTCGAGTCGGTTCCGACCCATAGTGACCCGGTATAGGGTTTCCAAGGTGAGTTCAAATCGACTCTACAGTTAGGCGCATTAACCCACAGCGCCACACCAGGACTTAGATTTGTTGTTGTGAAGTGCCGTCGAGTTGGTTCCGACCCATAGAGACCCTGTATAGGGTTTCCGAGGAGCAGCTGGTGAGCTTGAACCTCCAACCTTGCAGTTCAAACGGCTTTGCAGTCTGGCACATTAACCTACAGCGCCACACCAGGAGTCCCTTTCAAATCACATGATAACAATTTCAAAATCTTTAGGTTCAAAAAGATTGAGGATTTATGGCATAGAAATTGGGTAAAAGGGGTGAGGGAGATTCAAACAAGTGTCATCACCTCGTCCAATAATGAAGAAGAACGTGTATCAGTGCAGTATTGTGAAATTCCCAGTATTGGAGCTTGTACTGGCTGGCTAGAAAAGCGACGGCTGTATTATGAAAAAAGAAAAAAGCCACCGACAACATCAATTCGGGCTTCTTTTCGACAGTAGGAAAGAGGTCGTTGCCAGGTTCCACCTAACTTGCAAGTCCCACCTAACTTCCAGGTCCCGGGACCCTCGCGAGCCTCGCCTTGCGCGCCTGCGCGGAACTGGTTGGTTCCCGGGCGGCCCCAGCCTCTCCATCACCCGGGCCGCCCCAAAGAAGTTTCCAAGCGGGTGAGAGGCTACGACGCGGTGGAGAAGGGCTAAAGTAAGGAGGCTTGCTCCCTCTGGGCACTTACTTGGTACTCGATCTCCAGCGAGGCCTTCAGGGGCATGGGCTGGTAGAAACACTCCTTCTGCCCGGCCGGAAGGGTAAACGTGAAGTCGCTGTCTAAGGAGGGCGTGAAACTGGCTGCCCCTGGCAGCAGCACTGGTGGCACAGCGGCCAAAAGAAGCACCGGGAAGGGCAGCCAGACCTTATCGCCCATTCCTGCCGGGGCGATCTCGGACTAAAAGACGAGGAAGGAATGGGTTATGGGCGCCCGGGCTCCGCTATTCCTTCTTGGATTTCTCGTGGTTAGTAGAGAAACCTGGAGCCTGAAGAAACTCCAGCTAGCGGCGGCAAAGGCTCCCTCGGAGGGCGAAACACCGTGCTCTAAAGGGTAGGTTCTGAGGGCGGGGCCACAAGTCCCTCCTCGGTCTCTCTCCTGGTCTGGCGTGAGCGCGTCCCGCCTCACACCCGGACGGCCGCAGGTTCCCATGGTTTTCCACGCCAATGGGCGTCGAGGAGGCGATTGTGGGAAATGTAGTTTCTAATGCCTACCGACCGCGATTCCCCGACAGGCACCGCGCCTTTGGGTTGCCTTACGCTGAGCGGATGGGGTGGGCGGGGCTGCGGCCAGGGAGACGCGTCTCCAACGGTTCCCGCGACGGTTCGAACTCGGTGTATCCGGCGCTCGCTGTTCCCCTGCGTCCTGTTTCTGATGCTTCCACGCCTGGGCCCTGGAGAAGATCTAAGTCTTCCGAGAGCGCGGAGTGCGCCGTTGTCGGGTTGGGGGTGGGTTTCTTTCCTTAGTTACGACTTGGGTGGTGAGTGACTGCTGCTTGGCTGGTGGAAATCGGCCTATCTGGGGGGGATTTTGTTCCTTTTCTTCCCGCAACGTTGGACACAGTCAGCTTCCGCACTTCGCCTGGTTGCAGACCATTCTGAGCATGGTGCTTTTCAGAGTTATGTTGTTGTTGTTAAGTGCTATCGAGTCGGTTCCGACCCATAGCGACCTTGTATAGGGTTTCCGAGGAGCGGCTGGTGAGCTTGAACCGCTGACCTTACAGTTCAAACGACTTTGCAGTCTAGCGCACTAATCCACAGCGCCACACCAGGACTCCTTTCAGAGTTATGTTGTTGTTGTTAAGTGCCGTTGAGTCGGTTCCGACCCATAGCGACCCTGAACAGGGTTTCCGAGGCTGTAAATCTTTACGGGAGCAGAAAGCCTCATCTTTCTCCCGCGAGCAGCTGGTAGTTTCGAACTGCTGACCTTGTGGTTGGCAGCCCGATTCGTAACCACTACGCTTATGGTTAAGTTTAGGGTTAGGGTTCACGATAGGGTTTGGTCTAATTTTAGATTTATATGAGGATGACAAAAATTATCCACACTCTGGCTGTAGAATTTATTTTTAGAAGAGACAAAGACATCATTTTTTGACTTTACCTCCTTGCTCTTCAGTATACTTTGTCCATTTGCCAGCAAGCTTTTGTATTCCCTTAAAGAAACTTTTACCCTCCAATATCAGTCAGATTTAGTTTGCAGATGTCCAAATGCTTCTGTTTATGCTCTTCTGTGAGTTGTTTTAGTACCCATCTCACACTACTAAGTTTTCGAAACCCAAGTCAATTGTGGATTATTTCATAGGCAGAGCCATGGCTGATTTACAGATGATTGCCACATAATCTGTTTGACAGAATCATTTCACTTGCGTGCTCATTGTCATCAGCCATAGACATGGATGAGTGTTTTAATATAATGAGTGTGGATAATTTTTGATTCTCCTTGTAGTTAGCTTTGTTTTATTTTTCTTGAAATTTACTTGATTTCTTCTTTATTTGAAAGTTCTGTTGCTACACTATTGTCCCCTTTTTGTTTGTGAGTTTTTTTGTTCTTGTTCCGGACTGATATCTTTGGTTCCTTGTTCATATATTTCTGTAAGTTGGCCTGCCAAACATCATTTTGATCTCTGTGGTTTCAACATATGAATGTATGCGTTTTAACAATTATGAAGGAGCTCTGGTAGCGTAGTGGTTACGAATCAGGCTATGAACCGCAAGGTCAGCAGTTCGAAACTACCAGCTTTTGGGAGAAAGATGAGGCATTCTGCTCCCGTAAGGATTTATAGCCTCGGAAACCCTGTTCAGGGTCGCTAGGAGTCGGAACTGACTCCATGGCACATAACAACAACAACCAATAACCATTATGAATGTGAGAAAGGGATGACTTTATTTGATAATAAGTTCCTTCTGGGAAAATATGAGTGACTGTAATGATACCATTTTATCAGGTGTTCGGAGTTTGTGACCTCATGTTGAAAGTGATGTATAATAAACTGGCAAACAGCAGTGTGACATAATGAAAACTCCTTTGGCTCCTAAGACCTAGGTTCAAATCCTGGTTCTACCATTTGTGTGACCTTGAGCAAGTTATTTAACTTCTTTGCTATTTTTAATTTTTTCATCTTAAAAATAGAATAAAAATGTTACACAATTAATTGTGCTTTAAAAGTAAGTAGGTGGCCTAACAATTAGGCATTGGACTGTTAACCAAAGGTTGGCACTTGAACCCACCCAGCAGCTCCTCAGGAGAAACATTTGGCAATCAGCTCCAGTAAAGTTTAAGTTTAGAAAGCCTGTGGGGTACTTCGATTCTGTCACATGAGGTCGCTATGAGTTGAAAATTGACTTGACAACACGTAACAGCATCAGAAAGTAAGCAAGACTATTTGTGTTTTATAAAATTATAAAAACTGAATCTTGTGAATTTGTATCTAGAACTTCGTCTTACGGCTTTGTGCTGCAAAGAAACTAATTTTTGTTTTTTAAACCATCATGAAGGTTTAGCAACACTTAAAATAGAAATATGAGCTAAATTCTATTAGAGCAAGAATGTTTTGAAAGACACCACAGAATGTTTCAGGCAAGGTACAAGAAATTCATTAATTCATTCCTTTTTTTTTTTTAAATTTTTTCCTTTAAAGAAATGGAATCTAATTCATCAGGCTATTATAATAAAGACAATGAAGAAGAAAGTTTGCTTGCAAATGTTGCTTCCTTAAGACATGAACTAAAGATAACAGAATGGAGTCTGCGGAATTTAGGGGAAGAGTTATCTAGGTGAGTAAGTAAAATCACATGTGGAATTCAAAGACGTTGTGAATGTAAAGTCTATGAAATAACTTGTGTTTCTAATATTCCTCTAAAATAAGATAAATTTTCAATAAAATTTTTCTGTTTAGGAAAACAATTAGGCTTATTAAAGAAGCCTTTATATGTTAAATAAGTACCTTTAACATAGTGGGTCTCTATAAAATGTTTTGAACATAGTTGATCTTATATTATTATGACTTTTATTTAAGTCATATGTAATCCTCGTATGGACTCTGGAAATATATTTTGTTTAAAACTAATTATGGTTTATTTTTAAATGTAGTAGAAATATTAAGTTCATAATTATGAATCTTGTTCATATTAGGTTCATAATTATGAATTGGCTCCAGTATTTCAGATGCTTTTCTTTCATATTTTCTTTCTTACTATATAGAAATATGTAATGAATACTTATCTAGGAACTAAAATATATAATTTTCTTTTTTCCTCTAGTGTTAGTACAAGTGAAAATTCTGATTATGTCTATAATTCCTCAAGATTTGAAAGGCTCATTTTGGAAGATCTTGCTCAGCCTACCCACACTGGATTTTTGAATTACTCACCTTATAAAAAAGTTTGTAAGCTGTCCAGCGGCAATTCCGATTCTCATAAAAAGCCAAGAGATAAGGTTATTGTTTTAGATCTGTCTACTTAAAATGGTTTTGCTTTGTGTTTGTTTTTTTTTTTTAATGTTTTATTGTGAATTATGTGACAGTTTACATGCGAGAACATTAGCTTTACATTCATCTAGTTGTGTATCGCCTCATTGCCATGGTTACAGTCCCCTCCATGCATCATCAACCAACCAACCAAAGGGTATACCCTGCAAGACCCCCGGTTGGCAGCACACAGCCCCTCTCCCTCTCTGGGTCCAGAGTCCCCAGCCGCTCCATCTTTCCACGTCATTGTCTCTGCCTCCATCTCTGGCATCACCACCTCTCTGGGTAGGGTCCTGTACTCTGCCCCTCTCCCCCGATAGTCCCAGGGACCTCTGCTCCCGGACTGCAAAGTCAACCACTCCCCTCCCTCCCTCCCTCCCTTTGCTTTTCTTTGGTTTTTATCCTTACATAGTTTATTTTATTCTATGTTGTTATTGTTAAGTGCCGTCGAGTCAGTTCCGACCCATAGGAGTCTTTTAATATGGTGCTAATGAGTTGATGAATTTAATAAGTCCCTGTTTTATCAGTGTTCTACTTAAGGAATATCTCATTAGGGAAAATCCCATTTAGGAACAACTCATATTTGCCCTACAATGTTATGTATATTTGCCCTCATTTTGAATTGATTGAACCAACGTCTATTGCAACCAACCCCTACTTGCAACAAATTTTTCATCACAGTTACCTTCACTTGCTGCATGTGCAACTTTTGAATTATTGAAAAAGCTTCCAGTCTTTTCTTGCACTAAGACCCACTGCCATTGAGTTGATTCTGACGCATGTTGGCCCTGTAGGTCAGAGTAGAACTGCTCCATAGAGTTTCTGAGGCTGTAAATCTTTATGGAAGCATATTGTCTCTTATTTTCCCTGAGCAGGGATTGGTGGAATTAGACCACCAGACTTTTGGTTAGCAGCCCACCAGGGCTCCTTTTTCATTCATAAAAGTAAGGCCAAATAATAATTGAATGTATCTATTTCGACTTGCCAATGAATTCAACTCAAAGACATATTTAGGAATGGATATCATTTATAAATAATGCGGGACTAGCTGCATTATTTCCTAACAAGAGAGAGGGTAGTTATCTTGGTGAATTACTATATTTTGAAACTTCTTTGTTTGTTACCTTTTTGCAATACATTGTTTTCTCAAGCAAATTTTAATCCCTTTGATTTTAGTACTATATTTTATACATGTTGTTAAGTGCCATTGAGTCGGTTCGGACTCATAGCAACACTGTATATAGGGTTTCTGAGGAATGGCTGGTGAACTTGAACTGCCGATGTTGCGGTTCAAGCTGACCTTGCAGTCCAGCACATTAACCTGCAGCATGACACTAATTCCCTTGATTTGGCATTATATCTTGTACATGATGTTGTTAGGTACTATCAGTTCGGTTCCAACTCATAAAAACCCTATGTACAAAAGAATGAAACTGTCTCATTTTGCACCATTGAGAAAATTGTTATGTTTAAGCCCATTGTTGCCACTGTGTCAGTCCATCTCTTTGAGGTTTTTCTCTTTTTTGCTGACCGTCTACTTTACCAAGCATGGTGTCCTTCTTCAGGGACCGATCCCTCCAGAACACATGTCCAAAGAATGAGAGACAAACTCTCAGCAACCCTCATTTTTTGGGAGCATTCTGGAACAAATTCCAAGACAGATTTGTTCATTCCTCTCACTGTCCTTGGTACTTTTCAATATTCTTCTCGAGCACCATAATTCAAATGTATCAATTCTTCTGTGGTCTTACTGATTCATTGTCCAACTTTTACATGTATATGAGGTGATTGAAAATACCATGACTTGGGTCAGGCCCACCTTAGCCCTCAAACTAGTATCTTTGCTCTTAAACAGTTTAAAGAGGCCTTTTGTAACAGATTTGCATAGTCATTCAATTTATTGAATTCTGCTTCCAAGAATATTGATTGTGGATCCAAGCAAAATGAAGTATTTGACAACTTCAGTGTTTTCTCAGTTTATAGTGATGTTGTTTATTGGTCCAGTGGTGAGGATTTTTGTTTTCATTATGTTGAGATACAGTCCAACTGGAGGCTGTAGTGTTTTAAGTTCTCTTCACTTCCAGAAAGCAAGATTGTGTCGTCTGCATATGGTGATGTGCTGTGGAGTCGGAACCGACTCATAGCAACCCTGTACAGGGTTTCTGAGGCTGTAAATCTTTATAGGAGCAGAAAGCCTCATTTTTCTCCCGCGAAACAGCTGGTAGTTTTGAACTGCTGACCTTTAAGGTTCGCAGCCCGGTTTGTAACCACTACGCTACCAGAGCTCCTTTTGTTAATGAGTCTTCCTCCAATCTTAATTTCAGTTCTTTTTATAATCCGCTTCTCAGAATATTTACTCAGCATACAGATTGAATAAGTATGGTAAAAGGATACAACCCTGGTGCACATCTTTCTTGATTTTTTAGCCATTTGGTATCCCCTTGTTCTGTTTGAATGACTGCCTCTTGGTCTGTGTACAGGTTGCTCATGAGTACAATGAAGTGTTCTGGAATACTCCTTCTTCCCAGTGTTATCCATAGTTAGTTATGATCCGCACAGTCGCATGCCTTTATTACTAAAGCACAAGTAAACATCTTTCAGTTATTTTCTGCTTTCAACCAAAATATATCTGGCATCAGAAATGATATCCCTTGTTCTACATTCTCTTCTGCATCCAGCTTGAATTTCTGGCAGTTCTTAGTGGATGTATTTGTTGCAACCGTTTTTAAATTGTCTGCAGAAAATTTTACTTACATGTAATATTAATGGTTGTATTTGATGAATTCTACATTCTGTTGGGCGAACTTTCTTTGGAATGGGCACAAATAAGGATTTATTTCAATCAGTTGGCCAGGTACCTGTTTTCCAAATTTCGAGGTATGGACAAGTGAGTACCTCCAGTGCTGCATCAGTTTGTTGAATGTATTCAATTGGTATTCCATTAATTGCTAGAGCCTTGTGTTTTGCCAATGCCTTCAGTGCAGCTGAACTTATTCCTTCATTGCCGTTGGTTCATGGTCATATGCAATCTCTTTTAATGGTTGAGCATCAGCCAGTTTGTTTTGGTACAGTGACTGCGTATTCCTTCCATCTTCTTTTGATGCCTCCTGTGTTGTTTATCATTTTGCTCATAGAATCCTTCAGTATTGTGACTCCAGGCTTTAGTGTTTTCAGTCTTTCAGCTTGAGAGATGCTGAGGGTGGTCTTGCCTTTGAGTTTCTAACTCTAGGTTTTTGTACCTTTCATTATAAATTTGACTTTATCTTCTTGAGCTGCCCTTGGAATTTTCTGTTCAGCTATTTTACTTGATCATTTCTTCTAGTTGCTTCAGCTTCTTTACGCTCAAAAGCAAGTTTCATAGTCTTTTCTGACATCCATTTTTATCTTTTTAAAATTTTTTATTGTGAATTAAATGGTTTACAGAGCAGATCATCAGTTTTGTTTTATTCAAATTATGCACTTCTTTCATCTCAATGATTGCAATCCCCTCCATGTAACAACAGTTACCTCTTTATCCCTGTGATTCTTATTTCCATTCCACACTCCTTCCCTACCCTTCTGAACTTTGTTCTTTGCTAGCTGTTGCTGTTTTGATCGTGAATGGTTGACTATTCCATGGTGAGCATATCTTGCTAGTGTTCTTGTTCCCCCTTATGCTGTTGTTAGTGCTGTTGAGTCAGTTCTGACTCATCATGACCCTGTATAGGGTTTCTTTTTCCGTGGAGCATCTCTAGTGAACTTGACCACCGATCTTGTGGTTCAAAATAGTCCAGTGCATTAATCTGAAGCGCCACACCATAACTCTGTTCCCCCCTTATATACCTATTACTTTTGTCATGTCTTTCTAATGGCCTTTTTCGTTAATCATGCATGATGTTCTTGATGCCATCCCACAGTACTCATGTATGATGTTCTTGATGTCATCCCATAGCTCTTATGGTTTTAGGTCATTATGGCACTGTAGGATAAACACTTGACTGCAAGGTTGGTTTGAACCTCAAGGCTGGTGGTCTAAACTCACCAGCAGCTCCTTGGAAACCCAATGTAGGGTTGCTGTGAGTTGGAATGGACTCAATGGCTTAACAACAATAACAACAACAGTGTCTAATGCATTAAATCAGTTCTTGAGACAGACTCTAAATTCTGATGAAATATATTCAAAGTCATTTTGTAGTTCTTGTTGACTTGTTTTAATTTTCCTCAGCTTCAGCCTAAGTTTGCATATAAGCAATTGATGGTCATTTGGTTCCATGGCCTTGCTTTGGCTGATGATATTGAACTTCTCCATTGTGTCTTCCCAAAAATTTAATAAATTGGTTTCCTGTGTATTTTATGGTGAGATCCACATGCACAGTTACCTTTTGTGGCATTGAAAGAAGATATTTGCAGTGATTAAGAGGCTGATCTTACAAAATTCTGTCATGTGAACTCCAACATCATTTCTATCACCAAGGCCATGTTTCCCAACTACTGATCTTTCCTCTTTGTTTCCAGCTTTCATATTCGAATTACTGTTATGTTGTAGTTGTTAAGTGCCATTGAGTCAGTACCAAGTCAGAGTGACCCAATACACAAGAGAATGAAACACTGTCTGGTTTTGCACCAATCTCACAAATGTTACTATGGTTAAGCCCATTGATGCTGCCACTGTGCCAGTCTGTCTTGTTTGGGGTCTACCTCTTTTCTCTGACCCTCTACTTTAACAAGCATAATGTCCTTTTACAGGAACTGGTCTCTTCTGATATGTCCAATGTATGAGAGATGAAGTCTGACCTCCTGGCTTCCAAAGAGCATTCTGGCTTTACTTCCAACACAGATTGGTTTGTTCTTTTGGCAATCCATGGTACTTTTAATATTCTCTTCCAATGCCAGAACTCAAATTCATCAATTCTTTTACGGTCTTCCTTATTCACTGTCCAGCTTTCATATGCGTATGTTGTTATTAAGTGCTCAAATCAGTTCCAACTCA